GGTTAAAACATGACTACACAATAAGACTTGCCTGAAAACCAGGCTGACAGCCAAATCTGCCTCCTGCAGCCAATTTTTCTTTGGTAAATTTATCATTTGAAACGCTGATGTAGAGAAAACTCGAGCCATTTACATTCAGTTGTAAATCCATGCCAGCTGGAAGTTAAATCAGTGACCTTCACATACCTGAGGTGCAAATTTGTCTTTAGTTACAGTCTCAGGCAGAACCTCTAATCCAACTGAGTCATTTTACATTTCTGATTAAAGTAGGATGAATCCTAAAAATAAAAAAAACACGTTTTGGTTTTCAAACAAAATGTATTTATTTTTTTTAACAAATGGCCATCGGTTGCACGGAAAGGCTGGGTGCTGTTTTCTTACTGCGAGTGTGGCTGACATAAACACTTAGCTTGCAAACTGAAGCGCAGCAGGCTTTAGTTGCCCTGAGGATCCAGACAAACACACGCTGAAAAATCAGCAACTAATCTCAACTTTATTTTTAGCAATTTCCTCCACAAGTGCTTTAACATGTAAAAAGGGCCACATGAGTAAACACAATATATTTCTCATAGACATTCATAGAGTACATCATAGAAAAAAAACAGCCCTACAAACGAATCCCGCTGGCTGGTGAGAAGCATCCGGCACTTTGGAGAAACAGGAAGTTTGTCTCTTTATAACAAGCTCTCTAAAGCGAGCAGGATCTGAGTGAGGTGTTGGAGTTTTTGATCTTTTCCCAGCTGTATGGAAGTGTTGCAGTTTACAAGACTGCTGCTGGAAAAAGTTGCTCAGTAGATTTTATTTTCTTTTTTCAAGTTTTTTTTTTCTTTTTTGTATTTCTTAACTCCATCCTCCATGTTTGGTTATAAATGGCTGCAGTTTCCCCTTTGTCAGCAAATTAATAACAACAACCCCCTCTTTTTTTGGCTGACGTTACATGATGTAAGCTGAAACACGCTGATTGTGAACACATATGGTACACATCCACACATATAGACTCAACCTCAGCAGAATCACCCCACCCCCACGGCTCATTATATTCTCCCCCTTTTCACGTGGCCTGAACTGTCTTTTTTTTCATCTGCGTTAACCACATAAACTCTCCACGACTGAATCTGAATCACGAGAAGGAGAAGTTAAACTTGAAACAAAAAAAAGATGCAAATGTAAAACACCAGAAAGGGATTGGTGTAAGTACATTTTTTGACAAATACAAAGAGAGAATTGTTCAACTTTTTGACACTATTCTCCCACAGTGCAAGCAGAGTGCAGGACTCTGAGCAGCAGAGCTCCGTGTCTGGAAAAGATGGAGATAGCGAGATGGTTTTGCTTCAGAATTCCAGGCATGAGTGTTTGTTTTCGTTGGAAACACAACTGTCTGTGGCTGGACTTTTTGGAAGTACATTTTATCCACCAAAGTGCCTGGAAGTTTACATGTGGGCATTACCGCCCTCTTGTGGTGACCTAATGAATTTGCTTTACTCACAGCATTGAGTGCTTGAATAAACATGGCGTGGGGAGATGTTTTTTTTCTGATCCAAACGGTTGACAAGTAGCAAATGTGCAGCTCTGACTTCACAGCACAGTTCATCTCGTGCAACTTAACTATAGCAACGACAGGAGAAGGGATAAGGTCAGACAAAAGGAGACTGGATAATCTTCACATTGTTTGAAAAGAGCATGTGACTGAAATACAAAGGATTGAACAAATACAGTGACAGGGATGTAGTAAGATGAAAAATGTGGTAAAACACACAAAAATGAGGATCGTGACAGAGACTTCATGGAAATTCAGTTTAGGACATTAATTTTATTACAGTGAGAAATGAGTGTAAAAACATCACTCTGTCTGTGGGTTATAGGCCTTGAGCTGAATGGCACTGTTAGCTGTTGAATAAAGTTAGTCTGAGTTTTCCCTTAGAGGCCATTTAGATGTAATTTCATTTTATAACTAATCAGACATGTCAAAAATATTCATGTTCTTTACTCAAGTATTGATAATAGAGATGAAAATTAACTAATTATGAATACTTTATTGCTGTAGAAATTCTGGTTATCTGTACTTTGAGTAATTATTTTTCAGCCTTTTGCTTGTTTTATGCTAATTTTAGTTTATATA